AAGGTCTGAATCTCCTCAATCAGGAGTCTTGAAGGATCTCTCTCTCTCTCTCGCTCGCTCGCAGAATCTTGCTCTCTCTCTCTTTCGTGGAATCTCCCTCTCTCCCCCCCTCTCTCTCTCTGTTGTTTAGTCATTCTTTCTCACGGAATCTCTCTCTCTCGCAGAATCCTTCTCTCTCTCTCGCAAAATCCTTCTTTCTCTAGCAGAATCTTACTCTCTTGTAGAATCCTTCTTTCTCTAGCAGAATCTTACTCTCTTGTAGAATCTCTTTCTCTCTCGTGGCACCAAAATGTACCTCGGTGTGTTGCTCACTGTAGCTCTGGTGTTATCCACTGCTTCTGCCTCGCGTAAGTATAAAAACAAAAACAGTATATGCTTTTCTCTCTGTATATTTTAGGAATGCCTCTAACATTTGGATTTCTGTGAAATATATAATTTGTCCTTCTGTGGGTATTCGTTTTTTTATATTTGCTCTATGAAATTGATATAGATTTAGTAGGGTTCCGAAATTTGCAAGGTAGGAGACTTGGTCACGTGTGGAGGGGTTGCCAGTCCGTGAGTTTTGGGGCTTGAGACGGAGGGGGAAAAATGTTTCATAATTGTGTATCATTTTCCTTTTCTTTCCCTTGTATTGTTTTTTTTCTCTTTACTTCTCTCTTTCTCCCCCTTATTTTCATTCTTCTTCCCTTCCTCTCTAGCTCCTTTAACTCTTCAGTTCCCTTTCTTTCCCTTTGTTTTTCTCTTTCATTGCTCTCTCCTTACTCCCCTCTATCTCTCCCTCCTTCCTTTCTCCTTTTACCCCCTCTCCTTTCCTCATCTAATCTCCCTCATCCCTCCCTTCTTATTTACTCCTTCTTCTCCCCCTCCCTCATCTGCCCTCCCCATCCCTTTCTTCTTTCACCCATCCTTCTTCTTATCTCCTTCCCTCTTCATTCCTCTTCCATCCCTCCTCCCTCCCTCATCCCTTTCCCCCTTTACCTATCCTTCCTAAATCTCCCTCCCTACTTCTTCTTCCTTGCTCCCCCCTCCTTCCTCTACCTCCCTCCCCCTCCTTCTTCTTCCCTCCCCCTTCTTCTTCCTTCCTCCCTCCCCCTTCCTCTGCCCCCCCTCCTTCCTCTTCCCTCCCTCCTCCTTCCTCTACCCCCCCCTTTCCTTCTTCTTCCTTCCTCCCTCCTTCTTCTTCCCTCCCTCCCTCTTCTTTCCTCTTCCCTAACCCCTCTCCACCCCACCCACCCTCCCATCTCACCCCCCCCCCCTCTCTCACCCGGCCCAGACTGCCCGACCGGATACCAGTCCATGTTAGGGAAATGCATCCAGGTGGTGATCGCGGCCAGTTTTGGGGAATTCCCGATCAGGTGGAGGTCGCGAGGCAGGCTGCAAGGAGCGTGGCGGTGACCTCGTTTCCTTAAGCCCACCTGAGCTGCTCGAGCACGTCTCCAGGTACATTGACGCCACGTATCCAGGTGAGTGAATTCTGGGTGACTGTCATGGTGTCATGTTGATGAGAATGGTGAGTATTGTTAGTGTTGTTATTGTCGTTGTTGTTATTATCATTATCATCATTGTTATGTTATTGTCACGTTATTGTCATTATTATTATGTTATTGTCATGTTATTTTTATTATTATGTTATTGTCATGTTATTTTTATTATTATGTTATTGTCATGTTATTTTTATCATTATGTTATTGTTATTATTATTGTTATTGTTATTTTATGTCATTGTTACCGTGCCATTGTTATTATTGTTATGATTATTACTATCGATACTATTGTTATCATTATCATTAATGTCATTATCATTACTATTATAATTACTATTTCTATATGATAACCATTATCATTATCATTACTATTGTTATGTCATTATCATTATTGTCCTTAGTACCATCATTATTTTTATCCTCATTGTTGTCCTATCTTCATTAGTAATATCATTATTTCTTCCATTCTGACTTGACAGATAGATGGCTACGTTTTCACCAGTTTTCAAAATAATTTCCCAGTGCAACACCCTTATCCATCCTCATTAGGCGAACGATAATTTTTGGAGTCATCGCCCACACTCAACAGACACATCAATATTTCCTATACTTTTTCCAGGTCACATTGCGAACGATTACACCTTCTGGGTCGGAGGTCAAACTGTCGGGTCAGGATGGCAGTGGCTTAATGGCGACAAGCTGAGTGTCAAGTCCAATTTGTACGTGTGAAATTTCTACGTTTTTATTCCTATGAGAAAAAAAAAAAAAAAAAACGTGTATTTGGTTTTCTTATCACGTCCTTAATATTGGTTTTGTTCGTTAGTTCATCTGATTAGCATTGATTTTTTTGCTTTGTTATTCTGTATATGTAGATATTCTTATAGTTTAGAATCTGTTGTTACTATGGTATAATCTGTTATTATTATGGCTAAAGGTTCGTATATCAATACTTTCATTTTAAGACGTATCATCGGATTTCTTAATTGAAATTAATGGTTTGTTATTCATTTCAGTAT